TAAATGTGAGAGATAAGCCACAGGAGCCAGACACCAGTTCTTTCTAGAAGGTGTTAGTTATCATATGAGGTGGGGGTGGGGGGAGTGTTGGCTCTAGGAGAAACCTGAGCTTACAAGTCACTTTCAAGAGAAAGGAATCCTAATGCAAAATGGGGAAAGTCATGAGTTAAGACTTTCTCTGTCAACTCACCTTAGTATGAACCAATTTCTGGGAACAACTTCTGCAGGACGGTCCAGTTCTTTCTAGAAGGTGTTAGTTATCATATGAGGTGGGGGTGGGGGGAGTGTTGGCTCTAGGAGAAACCTGAGCTTACAAGTCACTTTCAAGAGAAAGGAATCCTAATGCAAAATGGGGAAAGTCATGAGTTAAGACTTTCTCTGTCAACTCACCTTAGTATGAACCAATTTCTGGGAACAACTTCTGCAGGACGGTTGCATGAATCCAGATCTGAGAGAAGAGGGGAAGGAAGAAAAATCACAACTAGCAAGAGCTGAGATGAGCTCACGTGCCCACTCTTCCCCGTTCTCTGTCTCAGCGACTGCCTTTACTTCCCTCACACACACCACTGGTTGGGGAGACTGGACCAGGCAACATTTCACCAGAACGCTCTGCGTTTCCAAGGACATAATTTATTCTCTTCCATCTGGATTACCTGTTCCGCCTCCAGTCTCCAATTCAGTTAAGATTTTATTTGTCCTTTAAGATTCGACTGGAACGTCACTTGTCCTATGAAATCTCCCATCCCCCATCTACCTCTCTTCTTTTATACAATGCTCTTTTGGTATCTTTTTCTGCCATTTATTTGTGTACTTGCCAATTATATCATCGGATTGTAAACTGCTTTAGGGCATGGGCAATATCTTGCTTCCTTCACAAGCCTGGCTCCTATTAAACTGCCTGGAACATAGAAGTGTTTAATAAATGCTTGTGGAATTAAATGAGTAGGGGGAGAAAAACCAGCCTCCTTGAATTGTTGTGTCTTAAGTTTTCACTGATGGAAGAGACCTTGGGCTGTTTGCATTGTTGAGTCTGGTCTAGACAGCCGGCAGCTCCCTAAGTCCATGCAGAATGCAGGGAGCTCATAAAGTCACCTGCCCCCCAGAAGTACTATAGAACCTCCTGCCTCTCAACATCTCAAAGCCGGTTCTTAGATATTGTTACAAGTTTCAGGGTAACCACCTGAGTTTGAGGGAGAGGGGCTTTTTCCCAGGGAAAGGAAATAAAGCGATTAAAAGTTCTGTGAGTACATTTTGTAAATAATGGCCCGTATCAACGGGACCAGATGGGATGGGGAGCAGATAGAATGGCGCCATGGCTGATTCCAGAACCAGACACGATGATAAATTACTTCATCCCCCTCATGACCTCATCCTTTCTAATTGCCCAACCAGTAGCACCCACGACTCTTACTCCCTTAGTTTCCATGACTACCCCTATGAAGTCTGTACTCGTGAGATACCCAGGGAGCCAGGCCTTTGAGCGATAGCTTGCCTGTGTCTCCGGGACTTGCAACTCTCTCATAAACCTTACTTTCTTTGCTGCAAAACCTGCACATATCTCTTCTTTGGCTTAGACGTGCACAGGCAGATGGATCCCTTTTTTTTTTTGTCCCAATAAGAAAGTGCCTATGTGCCAGGTCCCATGCAAAATGCTAGGGAAAAGCAGTAAAAAGCAGATGCGGTCTCTGCCCTCAAAGAGGTGACAGTCAAGGCAGGAAGCAAATATTAGGAAAGTCATATTCAAGC